CCAATGCATAGTTCTCGAGATATTTCAATGTCTTCAGATAAATCGTGCACCCTGTATAATATAAAAAGAATTTAGCTTACAAAATTCATGCTGACTTTGATCTTGACGACGTCATTCGAAATCAAACGGGTAAGATTAGTAAACAGATTTTTTTTAAAACCCTACAACTTTTATTTAAAATATTCTTTTTTACAAAATTTATATTTTTCGGGATATTTCGTTATTCTAATCTTTTTAAGATACTTTATATTTATAGAGTGGCCATAAAATGCAACAACCCAAAAATTCTAAGAAATATTCAAAAATTCTGTTTCTAAGAAAAATTCAAAATGATGCATTCAATATGACGGCTTCAAATGGCTAACTTTGATACTCCATTATAGATATCATTATGGATATCAAACTCAATGTTTTTTTGGTCGCAAATAACGACTGTCATAAATACGAGGTTTCCACCAGCGCTATTTAGAAAAGAAGTAGTTTCCTTCAATATATTTCACTCGCTGATAATAGAAGTAAAGCATCCGTAATGGAATACCATTAGTTACTAGAAGTTGCTATTGGATCCGCCATTTTAGATTTTACAATTTCGACTGGATTTATTATCAGTAACCTAAAAAACATGAACATGTCGAATATAATCCTCTCCACATAACAGAATAATAAAATTAGTTACTTGGCGCCATCATATTGGATCTGCTATTTTGAATTTTGAAATTTCAACCCTAGTTTGTTAGCAGCGATACGAAAAACTCTCTATAAAAAATATTTCACACGAAATGAAATGGGAATATAAATCTTAATAAATATTTTTCAAAAACTAAGAAAATTGAATATTTAAGTATAATGAATCTACCATTATGAATTTCTCAAATTTGATTCCGGATTCATAGTCAGCAACCTAAAAAAACATGAGTGTACCAAATTTGATATAAATCCGTTGAAAATTGGCATAATTATTCTCTCATATATGAATCATTATCAGTTTTGGCATATCTTTCTTCTATTCATATATGAATCATTACCAGCGAATTAATTAAAACGGGGCAGGAGTAATTTTGTAATTTCAAAGGAAACCTCCTATAAAATGTTACTCTAATTGTAAATGTAATATTTGGATTCTGCAGGAAAAAAATAAATTTTATCTGTAACATTTCTTTGTAAAATGTTTCTATCAAAAACTATAAACATTTAAACTTTAAAATAAAGTGCATTCAAACTAATATGATAAAACCATAAATTCAATAAGAAAAAAATAAGAGACTTCATAGTTTTTTTACTTTTTACTTTATTACAGTTCGAACTGTTGACCATTTAAACACTTATTAATTCTTTCTACAAAATTTTGTCTAACTCTAAATTATATTTCTGTGACCACGCTAGCGCAAGCTTCACGTATTTTTCGTTTTAAGTCTTTTTGCATCGTAAGTGGTTGAAATATAACTTTCTCTTTGATATACCTTATCGTAAAAAATAATTTAAAGGTGTAAAGATTAAATGAACAAGAGGGCCATTGAACATGACTTCCCTGACCTATTCATCTGTCATCAAATATTTCGTTTAAAAGAACATGATCCCAGAAATGTAGTTAGAATTAAACAAAATTTTGTGGAAAGAATCAATAAGTGTTTAAGTGTGAATGATCAACAATTCGAATATTTAATAAAATTAGCAACATTTAATAAAGTAATAACATTTAATGCACTAAAAAACAGAAAATCTTTGAAATCTTTTATTTTTATTTATGATTTTATTAGGTTAGTTTGAATGCACTCTAATATTTTACTCTACTTTAATATACTCTACTTTAAAGTTTAAATGTTTACAACTCTTGATAGAAGCATTTTTCAATGAGATATTCCAGATAAAGTTTATTATCTTTATATCTTAAGTTTATATCTTCTCATAAAATCTAAATGTATAACATTTTATAGAACGTTATCTTTGAAATTATTATACAAAGTTACCTCCTGCTTCCTTCAAGAGGAAGCAGGGGCGAAATTTTGTTTACGTAGTTAGAAAGAATATATAAAACTTTTCCATGAACAACTTTTTAATACGACAAATATTTTTAGAGTTTTTAGGTTGTCACACTTTACGTGGACCATCCTACATAACGCGACGACAAGCGGACAATTGTTATTATTCCGTTTTTAGCTATCAGCCGATAATTACCATCGCTAATTATAAGAGATAGTAGCATCTCAGCCATTTTCGGTGAGCTTGCGTCTCATCCCGTCGACAATGTCGCACGCACTAATTCGCTAATCTTCTTTTATTAGTATCTCAAAATTTCACATGGTTGTTTACAAAATGACCTTGTGCTCAGATTGACTCTACCTTTACGCGCATGTCAGGACATCTTGTGTCAGACACTCTATATGTATAGCTCGTAATTATTTCAAACAACATCGCCACGGCTACTGCCACTGCCACGTAATTATGTAGAAAGGCAGTCCGAGTGTTACACAGCACCGAGATATTGATTCGACGAAATCAAACAATATGAATTACTTTCGGCACAGCGGCTCTGAGGTGTGCGGTCAACTAGAACTTTCCTACTATTGTCGGGAAATAAATCGCAAATAGGATTCGCTGGAATATGATGTACATTTATAGGCAATCAACGATAATGTTGCGCACGTACACATCGTTCTTCTCACTTTGCACGCGATCATGAAGATGCGAGATTGTACACGACATTTCCAATATTCCAGATTTATCGTCGATCTGCAATATTTGCTAGAGGAACTAACGTGAGATTGCATAATGGAGGAAGGCAATGTAAATATAATCTGATATTAGTTTGAACGACAGTTATTGTTACACTCGATAAATACGAACATCGAGTGGAGAGGAGTTAATAATGAGCACTCGTCAATTTCAATAATTTCACCAGGTCCTCCTATTTGTTTTTCTTATGCGAATTGTTCGTCTAGAACAACCAGATTTGTCTACAGAAGAAAAAACGGTCTGCAACTGGGATACTTGTTGATCATCAATAATATTACTTTCTTTTATCGTTTGCTCGAACGTTAAATTCGCAGAAAAGCAGTAAGTGATGGGTATGCATATTGTAGGAAGAGTGTGGCATCTCTCGAACCATGTTTGATTCGCAACACTTACGCTATGGTTGTATTTATTTATTTTTTTTAACAAACGAATTGGCCACAAGCTAATCGTGATTTATACAGAGTTATTTTTTACTTGTGCTTTGCGCAATACTTGGTCATCGGAATCAAGCCAATTTCTCGTAACCACTGGAAAGTTTTGGAGTAGTCGGATAATATAGTGGCTAACGTGAATAAATTATATTTGCTGTTCATATCTATTTCAATAAGATGAAAATTTTAGTACAATTAGAATAAGTACGACAAATAAAATAAATGAGCGAATAAGTCAAAACTAGTGAGTAAAGATTATTCATAGGAAATATTTCGTCGTACGGTTGCCCCCGCGCGCTAATGTTCACCAAGCCACACACTACTGCACGACGAAACAAAAGTACAGGCGGCAACAATCACTTTCACACTCGGCGTTAATAGAGAACCCAAATTAACTTCTGCTTCTAGTAACTTCTATATTTCTTCATATAATTTACATATACGTTTTTAACATGTACGTATTTATATGAAGAAATATTGTTTTTAGCGATTTATTAAATTAGCAGTTTTTCAACATAACGGCAAAAGTATTACATTTATGTTAATAATAAATATGATCTTTTTATAGAGCTTTTCAAAAGTTTCATTTTTTGTCCGAGACATTTTTCTTTAAAATTAATATTTTCGAAGATACAGTAGAAAAACAGTTTAAACTTTGAGAGAGAGTGAGTGAATGGGGCTTTGTCGCCAAAAATCCTTCTAGGGTTTTCATTCTTGAGCTGAAGAGAAGCTTTGCTAAAAAATTGAGCTCAATTGGAGATTTGTGCTTTTCGGAACTTTATCCCCACATTCAAAACTAAAAATAGAACGATAATTACAACTTACGATGAGTGATTTAATAAATTTTGAATTAATTTTTTAATAATATATGTCCAATAGTGTACGGTCTTACTCAAGCACATAAAGTGATTATTTTACCATTAGGGTTAAATAAATTATACGCGCGACATTAGACGCCTTCTATCGTTGAACAGATTTTACATTTTACTCATATCCTTCTGACTGAGACAGTATTTTTTACGATGCTACATATAAAATGAATATTAACGTCACACATTCAGTTGAAATATGTGAGGAATTTAAAAATAGAATATTAACGAGATACAGGATCAGCAAGAATTCAACAAGGCAACAGACGCCTCATGTACATTTAAAGATGAGAAAAGACCTTGCTTAGTGCGTGCAATATATTGTCGATATTAATATTTTCCCGCAAAGGAATGATTCATTATCAATATCCTAACCTGGCTTTTATTGACCAAAATTAATTCTTAATAGTGGAATATATGAGAGCCTTAATATATAGTTTCGTTTAATTATGCGAAAATTGAGTATAGTTTCCGGAAGGAAGAATACGTCCGGTATTCTTTATTGTTAATAAATTTCTCAATTTTACTCAATTCCATAGGGAAAATTACGTATTTCATATCGATTGTACAATAGAAATCGCCGTGAGGTGGACGATCGCCGTAAAGTTATTATGGTTTTTACCTCGTCGCGACGGCTTCATATGCGTTACATTTCTTTTTTCTTTTTTCTTTTTTCATGCCACTCGCTTTTTCCTCCACGCGTAGTAATAAAAAGCTATATGAAACACATATATGAACAAAATCGCAGACAAGATGTATATATATATATATATATATATATTTTACCATTTATACTGTCGTTAACACGTGTTATCGTGCATATTTGCATATGCCGTCCAGTCACAAGTCGATAACACGCGACATGCTTCGAGGTCAATAGCAAAAAAAGAGTTAATCCAAAAGCGCCGCTATTATCGGATGGCTCGCGTCAAAGCAACCATGAAATTGTTTCTTTTTTTCATTAAAGGTGTTGCGCCGCTGCTGCCACCGTTACTATTATTGCTGCTGCTGCTGCTGATTATGAATCGCCTCCTTGTCGGCCGGGTGATGTATTAAAAAGTGATCACGGTCATTTGGATGGATCCTGGTTCAATTTACAACGAACTACAATTTCGAGATCGAGAGCCATCCAGAGAGAAAAAAAGGAAATCATCAATCGCTCAGCTCACCGAGGAAAGTGACGACTTCGTCGATAAATTCGTCGAGTGAGAGAAGAAAGGGCGTTACCGAAGTCTATTATATCTTCCAAGATAAACGACGTCTTGAATTTATCCTCACATCCTTTCTCATTCTATCCCGCGTCCGTTCGTTCGCGCGCTCACGTCACGTCGATGACGCAGTACGGAAGCAAACATTGGCATTAAAGGATCTCCACGTTGTCCGTGCAATGTGTCGAAGAAACGACTGCACGTGTGTGTTATTAGTCGCTGCGAGCGCGTCGCAGAGCTAGAGAGCCACATTATCGTGAGTACAGAAACAGGATTAATTGGCCGTGCGACTAAATTGGTGCTAATGTACCGTGTCATGTAGGTAAACCACAGTTGAAAAAGCTTCCGAGATATATTTTTATTTTCAACCGCAGATTTTTATATGCTAATTGGACTACTGACTCTAAATGATGCGAAAGTGACATAGAGTAAACGTCATATCATTTTGCACAGTGTGTGTGCTATTTCTATATGTGTTCATACTGTTTTAGTCAGAAAGATAATACATGTTACAATCCATGTTCTGTCTTATTAAAACCGCGAATACTTATTTTTCACATTCTTTTATATTTTGTTTTCTTCTTTCAAATACCTTTAATATTTATCATCCACCGACGCGTGTACTTTTTGATACTTAAAAATTTTTAATTGTGTTATACGTTGTGATATTAACTTCAGCAGTGTGTGTGCGTGTGTGTGTGTGACTATCGGTGTGATTTATACATGTACGAGTAAATTCAAAATGATATACTGTCTCATACTCCCTCCGCTTGGTAGTCGCATCAGGTAAAAAGTCAGTCAGTAATCTAATTAGTACATAGAAGTCTATGCTTTCAACTAACAGCAACGTTAGTTCTTCGCAAAATATATCACGAATTATTAGCACTTTCCTAACTTAAAGAAATTTTATAATATTTTAAGAGAAATGGGAAGAGAGCACGCACACGCATCCTTTTATTCGACGTATCAATCGTAAATGAAAATTTATAAGATTCCACGAGTACGGAGTATTCTTTAATTCTCAACGTCTCTTTCAATTTTGTTTCAAAAGTTTTCGAGTTAAATGCGTGCTCTCAGAAAGAAATTTGCCTAACGTCATACAGCCATTTGAGCCTGATTTCACTCGTTGAATGTACAATATGTTTCTCACGTCTCGCATGGAACGAATTTCTCTCGCATCTCATCGTCACTGTCCGAATATCATCCGAAAGTCATATTGTAGTGAAGATTTGCCTTCGTGGATATACTACGAACGGACTTATTACCACATCCTCTATACGACTGTGATGTTCCCGTTCTTTCTTAGTTCACTAGAGACAAGAGCAAGTCTGATCATGCGCAAAAGCAGACATTCGTATTCGATATAATTAGGTCTTGAAGGTATATTATTAAATCGCCGACTACATCGCGGGAATTTAAAACCGTATAGTTAAGACATTATCGTCAGAATCCTGGTCTGACAGACGAGCGTCAAACAAACAGGAAAATTGCAGAATAATTTGAAATGTGAATTTCAAATTCAGTGAGAATACGTAATCAACTCGTTAAATGAGATATATAATGAGAGCAGTCAACACGCAGTTCTTAAAAAATGTGCGTTCGGTTGAGCAATTTTGGCGATGAATATTTCGATAATGAGCAATACGTGATCGGCCGAATTTACGAGGCTACTGATTATCGAGAGAAGTTTGGGAACATTTTTTAAGTTAGTGGACTGCATCGATATTGCATAATTTAATACCACGTGAATATTGATATCTACTAAACCCTTTCGACACCTGCATTTAATGACGATGCGGAAGATCGATTGTATTTGGCATAAACAATTTTCTCGTTTCTCATTGAACCGTGTGTGTGCGTGTGCACTTGTTTGTGTGTGTGTGTATGTGTGTGTGTGTGTGTGTATGTGTGTGTTAAACTGGAACACAATAAACTCACATGAATTTTAAGCACATGTTACAGAACTATCGATTAATTACGATGTTTATATTAACACTCGAAATTGAAGGTTTTCATTTTGAAATCCATTATCTTACAATATACAGGGTGTCCGTCACAACAAGCTCGTATGCGAATAATACGGGTCAAAATGAATAAAAAATTCTCTACTGTCTCTCAACCACATAAAATTTCAAGTTATTAATAAAAAAGGATTAGTAAATCAGCGCACGCAGTGCGACGTGATCGCATTTTCCATGCGATCACGCCGCACTGCGATAGCTAACTGCACGATTATTCCTTAGCCGCGATCGGTATCAGATGACTACCATAAACAATTGTCTATACATTGTTCACACTTTTTTCCGCCTTTCACTGTCACCTGATACTGATCGTTGGTAAGAGACGATTGTGCGAAATCAGCCATTTCTCATGCGATCGCATCATCCTACTATAGCGCGTGCTGGTTCGGCAATATTCTTCCATTAATAATTAGAAATTTTACATAGTTCTTCAGAAAATGGTAGGGGGGGGGAAACTTTTCTATTTTATTTTATTTTGACCCGCCTTATCCGTATATGTTTTGACATGTTATGACGAATATCCTGTATATTTGCTTCTGCATGTTTATAGAATGTTTGATGCGCGCAATTTTTCTTTTTTTGATAACGCGGATCCTTTGACAAGTTAAGACATTTATTTTTTTCTAATTTCGTCAAGCGATAAACTAAGGAACTTCTTTTGTTCGTCGGCACTTTAAATTACCAAAAGGTTAATTTTAATTAAAGAATTAAAAATAATTCCGCTGAAATTAGTGGAAAAATTTAATTATTATACTTACTTCTATATTAAGTCTTTATAAAAATAATTCCGCTAAAATTAATGAAAAAATTTACTTATTTATACTTAGTTCTATATTAAGTCTTGGTATTAAATAACTCATCTATAATTTATATACGATGAGATGATTCTCAACTTTTCATAAAACAGATACGATGGTTGACCCAGTAAAAGCAATAAAAGTAGCATCGAGACAGTCTGCTTATGCGTTGCAAAATCGATTAAGCAATAACTAATACATAAATTAGTGCGATATTAGCGAAACATGTCTGTTTTAACAATTAAACTTGTATATCTTCATGCATGGTGCATATATATTGAACCGAACTTGGTATGCCTAATTTCAAAATTGTACATATCACTCAATTATAGATGTAGAAACGGATATAACGGAAAATTATGCACATCAGAATGTAACTTGTTTTACGATTATTTACTCAATGGTTGAGGTATGCTTCAAAAAATGAAAAAGGGAATTTAATTCATTATAAATTTTCGCAAATTACATTAACGTCGCGTTCACGTTGACTACAAATTTTTCGTCAGAAGACTTACGTCCGCGAACTCAAAAAATGATCTCAAAAACGAAATACTGATGAAGTGAATTATAAGCAACCGACGTATTTTCTCGAGCTTATTATAGCGATCATGACAACCAGATAGCGTCGTTTTCTAATAATTCTCCACACACACATGGAGTTTGTAGGTGTAACTGACTGTATTTACACAAAATCGTGTATCGAAATGCGTAAACTCACTTTCGAGCAATCAAGTTCTCGTTCGTGTGGGAAATCATCATGGAAGATAATATACCACAACGGAAAATGTAAAATGAACTTCTACAAACTCGATATCAAATTGTGTATCTATAGATACATAATATAGGTAGCAATACTGTCACTGTGTACGTTAGACTCTATTATGAGTATTTTTTAATAGGTTTATAATACGTTGATAAATTCTTCCGAATTTCTAATTGAGTTTTGCAAAAAAAAATATGCTCATACGGTATGACTTGTGCGTCTGTGTACGCTTGCGAAAAATAAAAGGAATTGGAGTGCGTGTGTGATTGCGTGACCAAAACTCACTTTTATTTTCAGTTATTTCCATGCTAACGAGAAAAGAAAAAAAAGAGAAAAGGAAAAGGGCAACACATTATTAGCAAGTTGATTACCTAAATTGGCACTATGAAATGCTTCTATGTAACTATCACCTTGTAAATATTGTTACATCAATACGTTTCAGCTGCTGTCACTATACATAGTCATATTGTCTCATTCTATACTAGTAAATCACTAATTGACAGAGCCAACGAGAAATGGTAGGTCGCAGCCTTCGACAGTCGGAGAAAGTATAAACCTCTCTCTCTCTCTCTGTTATCGATCTATGATTTCGATGCATGTCACTGAAATAAACGACGTTACCTTCACTGAACGTGTACTTAGGAACAAATTGACCGATCGACAATTATAATTTACCGTAATCGTGTGTACATCTCCATCATTAATTCGTTCGATGCATTTTTATTACGTAATGTCTGACAAAAAGGAAGAGAAAAAAGAAAGAAACAAAATATCTCTCAGAAGTCTCATAGCGATTTTCGACTGCTGGCATGCTCCGTAATCAGGCAGGAAGATCAGGGGCGGCCCGGCGGCGTGTTCCTGCTTCTAGAAGAGTAACTTTTATCTTTTCGTACCGCCTATTGCTGGGACCTACGAGTTATCCGAGTTGCGCCTGGGGCGCTCCGAACTTTGTCCTGCGGTTAAAACTATCCGAAAGCATCGCAGTCGTGCTCCGGACAAAGGGTAACCGTTGACCGGGGCACAGGCTGTGGTATCCGCCACATACGACGGATGTATTTTCTTATTCTGTTTTGAGGCTCTTGCCCGATCATCTCACGCATAAGTTTATGGAAAAGGAAAAAGAACAAATGTAATGCAACCATCGTTACTGTCCTAATAAACCTTCACGTATGAATCCATACGATAATCCTGCTGTCGTTCTCTCTCTCCCTCTCTCTCTCTCTCTCTCTCTCTCTCTCTCTCTCTCTTTCCCTTCTTTTCTCTTTATTCTTTTCTTTTCTTTTTCCTTCTTTTCGTCTCCGTTTCCACATTGCCTAACTGCTATCGATGTAAGCGCACGCGAGCACGCATTATATATTTTCTTCTCTATTTGTTTCAATACAACAGCCATAACGCGGATCTGCCTGACAGCGAAACATTAAGTAGCTGAGGATGGTTTATCTCTGCCTACTAGGTTTGACATCACCTCGTCACAACGTTGGACGAAAACTTGAGCATCGATTCGTAATCAATAAAGTTCTCCTATCCGCCAGTCCCACCAACCGAGAAACGATCTATAATGCTGAAGAGGCGATTAAACTCCGCCGTAACTCTACTAGATCATTAAGCGCGCAAAGCAGGCAATCTTGTCATTTAAGGAGCCAAGAAACAAGAAACTCTCTTAAACGCATTGACGTCTTAGCATAATTGTTTGAGATAATTATCTTTGGTATTTAGAAGTCGGCTAGACACACATAACGAACTCTATTTGTCTCAGCTGAATCTGTCGCGCACCGTAAATGTACCGTGTACCGGTACGATCATTCGCTCGAGTAGAGAGCAAAAAGAGATCCCACTTCAAAATAAAAAAAGTAAGTATTTGTCCTGTAATTGTCGTGCGATTATACCGTATTGTGTCTACGCAAAAACTCGAGCATTTGTTATGCAAATTAGATTAAAAATAGGTTATTATTTTCGATATAAATAATTGTTTCTCATTAATACGATTTAGAATACAGTTACCGAATGTGTGGAATGTGTCGTCAAATTCGTAATTACGTTAATTGATAATATAATTAAAATTTAGAGTAATAATTTGATTTATGCGCTTATGTAATTAATTATCTCTACGTTGGTGCAGCTACATTAATTGATATAACATTATGCAGCAACCAAAATCAAATATAATTCGAATTATTGTAATCAGGATAGGATTCGGAGGACATATAGTTCTAATAAATCGCGTAACCGCAGTTGATTACACTCTTTATTGATAGCATCGATTACGCACAGTGTTCTAATGAGTGTTATCTTCGTAAATTTACCTTTTCGCAACGATGTTATCAACGGATGATATTTTACGCAATATGTACGAAGGCATAAAATGTTCTTTATATCTTGCGTCACTAGAAAATATAAAACGATATTATTAAATTATTATTCTCGGCTTTGAATAAAATTTTGCAATTTTATTCGAAGGAAGTCTCCCTGAAAAATTTCTGGAAAAGTTCTTCCGGGAATTTCGTAACTATCGATAAGAGGTAATCATTCAAGAGAGTTAATATTATCAATAGTTTCAATGTAAATTCGAAAAATAAATATAAATTGTATAACGATCTGTATATACAATGGCTACTCAAGTACGATATACATAAAAATTCTTGAATCTACTAGTCTCTCCACCTCAGCAATATCGCAAAGTAATTTCCTGCTCGATCGATATATAAGAAAAGAAACATTACTCTTATCTCGGTTAAGTAGAATTCTATCACTGTTTCAATTTGTTTTCAAATGGATACACGTCTGCAGTACGAGAATATTCGACCACTAACATAAATAAAACGATATTTCTAAAATGTCAAAATACCACTAGCGCCGTAGGGGTCGGTAATTTCATCGATTGCACTGTGACTGTTTAACTAAATTGTATAATCATTAATTTACAAAGGGGAAATTTATCTTTGTTCTCGTCGCATTCTGTTGATTGATACTCAACTCTTAAAAATAAACTCTTACAAACAAATGAATAAAAAATAAATAAATGATCAAATAAATAAATCAGTGGGTTTTGGAACCAAAAGTGACTCGCGAGATTACACAAGGAGGGTTTACCTTTTCTCATTCTCTCTTTTCATCACATCGTGATCCTCCTTATATAATCCATTTCGTCATCGTTTTTCAATATTACATACATTTTATCTCAATATAACATAGAATAAACATGACAAAGCGTGATCAAAGAGAAACCAGGACTTCTGTACTTTGCATATCTCACTTCTGGCATATAGCGCGACACACCTTTTAGCACGGCGCACCTTTCGGCGCGCTTTGTCGCGCAGCCGATCAAACAAGCCGTTGCGGAGCGAACATGACAAGGTTTGGCGTACAGCGCAGCTGGCACCTCCAAGACGCGCAGTCGCGCGCCGGTTCTGTCGGGTGGGAGGTGATCAGCTGCGAACACACGAGGAACGAAGATGTTCGTCCTGCAGAAGTCTATATTGTGAGTATAAGCGAGAAATTTTGTGTTCCCCGCTGTCCGCTTTTGCCATTGGAGAAAGACGCGCGCGATCTCTGTGGAATTAATCGCTTTCGTGTTCAACGAAGGATCTTTCTCGAGGTGATGATGAGTGGAATACGTATGCACGTACGTAGATAGACCTCAGGGCGAACTTTTCGTCGGCTTCCGGGCATCCACTCGTCCGACAGAGGAAGGGCTGTGCCGTCGCGCATAGTGTAACCTGGTTTGCGCCCGCAATGCAGTGCTGAAAATAGGAGCAGCCGGCACCCGCGATCGATAACGAAGCCAGGTTACTGTGGTTAAATATGCCGCGAATCATTGCTGAGCCGAAGACGACCACGACGTAGTGTTCTTGTCCTAGTGTTCCCTCCCGCTATTCTTCTTGATCGAACTCTACGTGGCCGCTTCACCTGGCTTTCATTAATTCGTCCGTGACCTTGACCGTTGATGTAGTCGGAAGACGTTCCTTTCACAATGTGCTCTTTGTTCGCCTACTGGATGAGGACGAAACTTGAGTTTCGCATTCAGCTTCTGAAGTTGATTCTTGTAAACTCTTTTCAAATAACGATCATATACCGTTATATATCGAGTGTCTGTCGAGGATCATTATCCTGGGTTAACTCATTGAAAAGTGTCGATACAACTGATTAGACGCATCGGCGTCGGAATTTTTAAAAAAGTTCACCGGTAAATATCGACGGTTCAGAAATGGGTGCCTTCTCAGATGTCAAATCTCGACGATTAAACTATAGCTTCTAATATTTTTTTACGGAAGAATCATTCTTCTGATACAATATACTAAATATAAATATAATAAAGGGGCTCCGCCCCTCTCCCGCACCCCCTCTCCAAACAAATTCTAACCTAACCTAACTTATTGCATCTTTATATATTTTTGGACATTGTTGAAAAAAGTTCTCTTAAGATCTATCACCTGACTCAACTTAACTTATTATAATATCTGCATATAATTAGGTGTTGTGGCTTTTAAGAAGATCTTTTCAATATCGCCCAACAATATATAAAGATGCAATAAGTTAGGTTAGATTAGGATTTTTTTTGGGAGAAGGTGCGGGGAGGGGCGGAGCCCCTCTCCCGCTTATATGTTCCTATATTTCTATGTATACACTATGGTTGAATTAACTGTTTGGATTGTACTGTAAATAACGTCAGCTTATGATATCTGGAATTTAATTCCAGGATAATCAAAATTCCAAAACTTTAAAATGAAATATCTCGGAAACTATAAGCAACCCCCATATAGTTGTATCAGGAAGTCATTCAAAATTTCATCCTTTATAACATATTTCAAAATGAAAAAATCGATGAGATGTACCCTTTTCTATATATTTACCCACATCGAACTGCTTGACATTGTGCATAAGTTGTACGTGATTGATTAATTGTTTCATCCGGTTTTATCACAATGGATGTGATAAGTCCGTGATTTAAAACCAAAGTGAGTAATAATTGCCATTTCAGATACACTAATGTCATAGAGCAATACGTATTCCGTACACAGTAAATGAAAAGAAACGAAATCTAGAATTAAAGCGAGGAGGTGCGAAAAAATAGTACGTGTGACGTCACTCGACGATTCGCACCCGAAAAACTCCTGCTTGACTCTGTGCAAATTTGACAGTAACATTTTAAAACCTGACCTGTTCAATAAACAATCTTTCGTTTTTAAACATGTTTAATCTAAATAATAACATGAATAATTTAATAATAATAAATGCAACTGAGAAATTCCATTTTGCGGAAAGAAATTTTAACAGGAACAACAAACATTGACTATAAACTTTATAAACTTTAAGTAATTGTTGTAAGAATATAAATGATATAAATAATATAAATAATATAATAATAAATTGAATAATGTAAATATAACTAATAAACATCGATTATTAACTAGCAGACTTATTCTTCAACACTTTCACGATATTATTTGAAACGTATCCGATAGTTCAATGAAAGAACTTGATTCTGAAAAATGCATAGGAGGGAAGTTGAAATTTCCAATCATTTAACATCTACTACGTTTTAACATCTCCTTTTTACGATTTAACATCTCCTAAACTGCATAAAATAAAATGTCCAAACCATTTGAAAACAAAATGTGTATTTTTTGCAAAAATATAACATAGTAAATGCATTATATGTACATCATATAATAATTGACTTTTATACGAAGACCCGTCCGCGCTCCTGCTCGTCGTCGTATCGTGTTCATTACGCGTTAGCGATTTGTTATCGTGAACATATATATTGTGGGCACATGCAGTGTGTCACTGAAACTAACTGCACGTGGCTTGAAGTAATGGTCGATATTAAAAACGATACAGACATAATCATCCGTAACTTATATGATATATATCTAATCAGTTATTAGTACAAATTTGTCACATGTCGATTCTTAATAACTTGACGGTTTTATAAATTGTACACATACAATATTGTTCCGTAAATAATACAATAACTAGAACTATGGCATTTTCTTCCAAGTAAATTTTTTTGTCATTATAATCTGTTATATATATACACACATGTATGATCACAGAAAAATTGTCCACTATATTTTGTGTGAACTTCGGAATACATTTTATTCATCTTATCTAAGAGAAGAATTCTGCTATCGGATAAAACGAGAATATTCTGAATTCACGCAAAACATAATAGACAATTATTGTGCTCATGATTGTATGTGTACACTCATATCAGACCGGTATAATAGCCTTAATACGCGATATAATAAGATGACTAGCATTTTCTAATCGTTTATTTCTGAGTATGAACGTGAAACTGTTGTGATGACGATGATTATCGATATTCAACAAGTATTATATCAACATGTATCTTTTATGTATATTTCAGTACTGTTTCTTTGAACAATCAATAATACATAAATAAATAATGCATATATAATTAGAAAATATTAAAACCTGGTCTAAAATAAATATAATAAGCTTTTAGCTGTTTCTAGCAAAAAATATTTTATACATTGCCTTAGTAGTTGAAATCTGACAAACTCGCTTAAAGCTTACGACATCAACAGCAAACGTTTTTAACTGAAAATTAAATCACAGTTTTGAATTTAGAGCAAAAGACTAAAGACTTCCTATAACTATTATAGATTGAGATTACTTTAAGAGGAGACAAATATCTTAGTAAGGTACTTAGTAAGGTACACATACAATATTGTTCCGTAAGTAATACAATAATTGGCACCATCGCGTTTTCTTCCAAGTAAATTCTTTTTCATTAAATTCACTATAATCTATTATACACAGGGTGTATAATATACAGGGTGTATGACCTAGTATATACACACATGTATGATCATAGAAAAATTGTCCACTATATTTTGTGTGAGCTTCGGAATATATTTTATCCGTCTTATCCAAGAGAAGAGTGTTTATTAAAGTACCCAAGAAACAAATACCTTAGTAAATGATCTATAAGAAGAAAATCAAAAATGGAAACGTGCTTTTGGAATACAGTTTGCTGCAATAGATAGTCATGTTTATATTAAGAATCCCAAACATTAACTTTAGACACCCCTTATTTTTTTTATAAAAAACATGAAAATGTTGATGTCACCGGATCGATTAACCGCTTGGCAACGCAATAAATTTCAAAAAAAGGAAGAAAAAAGTAGTAGTAATAAAATTCCAATAAAGTTCCAAGACCAATAATTTTTATAAAAATCGATCTTTCCGTGGTGCTCAGGGCACATAAGTAGAGTTTTGATTAAATACTTTGTCATAAGTGCTTCAACAGCATATTGGAAAGTAGATGCGGTAGTAATCAGACAGTATGGATTCAATACTACCTAGTTTTGGAACATTTGGTATTTAATTTTTCTCCTCCTTTCCTTGAAATCTATTGCGCGACCAAACGGTTAATCGATCCGATGACATCAATATTTTCATGTTTTTTTAATTTGTGAAAGAAATAAAAGATATCTGAAGCTGAATGTTTGAAATTCTTAGTATATGGACATGAAGGACTATCTATTGTTACAAATCGCATTTTAAAAGCGCGTTTCCACTTCTGATCCTCTCCTTGGTAATTGTATTTACATATTAAGATTCTTTTTTTACATCACCTTGACTGTGACGTCAGAAGCGAAAAAATGACAAAATTTTTACATTTTTAAATAAAAAGGTATTCTTATGAAAGAATACTTCAAATCGCTATAATATATTTGTAAAGTATTCCGAAAACTGTTTCTCTCTCGATAATAAATTAACAGCCATAAAATTATTGTAATATGAAGCTTGGTCATAATAATTGCACTTCCATATGACTAGGCCTCATGTTATAATAAATTTATGGCTGTTAACTATTTATCAAGAGTAGAGACGCAATTTTCGGCGTGATATTTCTCGTCTCTGACGTCACTATTTAATATGGCCGCGACGAATATTCAGAAACTTTAAAGCTACTATGTCGACTTATATGCTTGTTTTGAAAATAATTGTTATTAACACATAAAAGATTAGTTATAAAATTTCTCGTTTTTATTTCTTCATTTTTTTTTACGTGAAATGAATTATGTCCTAACAGTAATTGCTATATATTACAAAAGAAAACTTGTTACAGACCTTTTATGTTTAAACTTTGGAAAACAAAAAATCTTGTGACGGATTTGTTATATATTAATTTTCCATTAATTTATATTTATTCAAGATATACAAGATGTTTATCATAAATACAATTTGATCAATTACAATAATCGAACAGAAAAAAATTCTAAATGTATAATTAATCAATTTGTAAATGCAAATGGTGATAACATGCAACATTTAATAATCATAATATTTCGAAAACGTTCTTTTTTGTAAAAAAACCAAGGCCTTGATCTGTTTAAGTACAACTATATTTTTCTATTCGTAGTGTTGTAGGATTGTAAATGAATTCAATAATAGTTCATAATGAATGTCATTTTTATTGACATTTAATAGAAACAACTGTAAAAG